ACATAACACGTTATTATTGAAATGAACTTGTTTTTCATTTATTAAATGTTCAAGCTTCATTTTCAACTTTAAATTCTATTTTTCCAAAATCTCTTTTTTTTTTTATAAGCTATTTTTAATTTCTCATTTTATTTTTTTAAATTAATCTTTGTTTTCATTAAAAATATTATTTTTAACATTTAATTTTGAAATATATGATTTGAAATTATTTTTATATATTTCAAATTCATTCCATAACTAACTCCTAAAAAGCATCTTATAATTCTTCAAATATATATGAAATTTGATCATTATAATTACATATTATTTTGTACTCTTGAAGAGCCATGACACATGATTCTTAAAGAATTGTCTTATATTATCGTCTTTTACCTTGTCACTTTTTAAACTTTTAATTCCACCAGATTTTTCTCGATTCATTTCTTCATTTCTTAGTTTATGGAAGAAGTCAAAATGTTATTGAAATCGTGAACATTTTTGGCACAACATAGCATGTTTATGACAATGCAATTTACTTGAAAGTGGACTGATTGGGCCTAGTGACAGGGATATTGTTAGTAAGTCAGTTATTGAGAAATGTGGTGAGGGCCCAGCTCCAATTGTGAAATGCAGGAGCCAGTTTCTTCCTCGTCAAAGTCTAGGCATCATCACAAAGTAAGGTCATTGGAAGCGGCTGAAGAAGCTTTTCTCTTTAAAATGTCTCAAAAGACAATTAGGAGAGGGAAAAATGCGAAAAAAAGGTTTAGCAGAAGAAAACACAGATTTAAGGTAGTCGATTTGCAAATGATCGCTATCGGATGAAGATTTTTTAACAGATATAAAGTGATCACTGAAGAAGGAAAGGCCACATGGAAATTAGGAAAATTATTGGAATTTTCAATAAATTGTGATGACGATCTAAATGTTGAAAGATTTAAAGCGTTGGAGGACAGGAATTGAGCGGTCTTTATGGGTAACAGGTTATCATGCTGGAATTCATAAAAGAATTCAGGTGGTTTAATTGTTTTTGGTGTGGGACAAAAGCATTTTTGTGATAGAGAGAGCCATGATAGCTACTTGATCGTTTATGGTTAAAGGGGGTTTATTATTACAAATTTACAAATAGAAATGCTAATGAAGGAAGAAAATATCTTGGAGGGTGTAGGTGCTACTTATTTTTCTAGCAATGTGAGCCACTGGTTTTGCTATTTATGGTTTTGCTAATTCGGAATTACAGAGGACTATTTTTTTTATTGTGTCTTGTTATAGTGGATGTGGAGGTTGCGTTTTCAAAGCATTTGCAAAAGGGGTATGAAAAATAATGGAGAGGTATGCAAGGCAGGATGAATATAGTTGGCGTTTAACGTCGAATGATGTTTTAGTGCTTCTGTTAGAGCAAGGCTACTATGTCTGACCGGAAGAAGTTTTGAGTTATAAGGAGTATAATGCAGCCGAGATCTAGGTTTTCAAAGTGGTTTTCCAAAAACGAGATTTTGGATGAAATGGGAATTTATTTGGGTGAGAATATTTGAGGGATAATGCAAGAATGAATGTGTTTAATTGACTTGACAAGTGGAAATATTCAGGATTTGATTCATAATGGGTTCTCGTTTCAATTGAATCGGTTACTGTGATTTCTTTGGTGTAATAATCATCTTGGATTCCGAGCAGCTTGTGTATGGGCCAAGGGGGTTTGAAGGACAAGCTACTAGCTATGAGGTTAGTTTGGGGGGATCCGGTTATGTTTTTGCTTTTGGCTTATGGAAGTGGCTCTTTGAAGGCTGTTAAATGGTGTGAAAAGGAGAAAGGATCAACCAGGGAAACTTTTGTTTTTATCTACTAAAATTGAAATGCTTATTATATCGATTGGCACAACTAGTTTGATAAACATTTTCAGAGGAATGAATGGCATGTTAGATGCCTTGGCAAAGGCGTCTAACAATTGAGAAGTTTTTCACGGTATGGTAGTGATTTTGGTGTCCGCTCTCCCTATTTGTTTACTGACCATGGTAGCGTGTTTCTTTTTTGGTTTTTTTATTGTTCATTTTTTCATTATGTTAATTTTCTATTAGTATTTTGCTTGCTGTTTTTTAGGAGCTGCTGCTGGTATGAGTTGCAACTATGTTTATTTTGGAAAGAATATTGTATTTCACTGATGATCCTCTTTTGATATCTAATAAAAGTTTGACTCAGCAAAAAAAATTTCAACACATGATATAATGAAATTAACTATGTCAATTTAATATAGTTTTTTATATGAAATTATATTTTTTCTATTTTACATTATACGATTTGTCTAGTTCATAAATTCTTTAATTGTTGGCATTGAAAAAAAGAAATTATTGATAAATTTGATTTAAAGAAGACTATAGTTTATAGATGACTTTTAAGCAATGACAACTGGTGATACTCAATTTAAATAATAAACGTCTCTATGTTATGATTTTCTTCTATTTTTTATTATTATAGTAAATAATTTAATATATTTTTTATGATTTCATTAGTCATAAAAAAATTACTTTATTTGTGTCAAATTATTTACATTTTTATGGATTTTAATTAAAAAGTTATGAGTTTAATATACTCCCTATCGTAAAATGTTTGGTTGTATTAATTTTTACGAAATTAAAAAAAAAATTTAACTTTAATGTATTTAATATTAAAATTAATTTTTTTATAAAATTAAATTTTCATAATTTTTATGTTAAAAAATAAAAAATAATAATTTTAAAATATAAAAAGTAAGAATTTTAGATATTCAAAAGAAAAAAAGATATAATTTTGATATATCCAAAAAATGAATAAAGAAAATGAGACAAAAAGGGTATTTGGTATTAAAAATTAAAATTTTTTTATAAAATTAAAATTTTTTTATAAAATTAAAATTTTATGATTTTTAATGTAACAAAAATCATTAAAAATAAATTTTAAATATAAAAAATATATAATTTTAAATATAAGAAATTAAAAAAAAAAAAAAGGACGGAGGAAGAGTAACCTTTCTTTAAGACGTACACCCTTTAAAATTAAGAATCTTCATTCCCCTGTACGCCCAAACGCAACTGAATATTTTAAGTCAGCTCTTGGGTCTGGACCTACACTTGGTCGCGATATGGATGATTTTTAAATTTAAATTTATAGTGGGTTTGGCTAGAAACATGTCCGGTCGGACCAACTCAATTTTAACTCGAAAGCAGCCTAAATGGTCGTCAATGAGGAATGAAGATATGCCAGGCTTAGAAATACTTGTTGGGCCAACAATAAATTAACTCCAAGATAAGCTTAAGGAAATGAAAATGAAAATTGACGAAGCAGTTCGTACGTAGACTTAGCATGCATATATACCATGCATACCATTGCCATTATAGTATTAACAATTTAATTTTTGGCATAAGGATCACTCGTTGATTGAGTCTCTGTCTGAATTTTACTGCACTTTTGATGTAATCTGATTAAATTTATTATATTTTTAACTAAATTTAAATATTAATTTTAATGAAATCAAATCAATATAAATTTTTTATTAAAATTTTTTTCAATCATAATTATAATAAATTTTTTAATTATAATTATAATAAATTTTATTATTATTTTTAATTTTAACGTAATTAATTTTACCACCTATCTAAACAGAGGAATGAGATTCACCAAAAGAGAGAAAAAGGCTAAAGGAGTCTGATCAGTTCACGTGCTGTCCTCCTTGGTGTTTCGGTCAGGACGATCCATCTTTGCTAAAAAATGTTCATGAACAATCTCAAACATTAAAAATTTTAAATTTTAAATAAAAATTTTTTCCGAATACTTTTTAAATTTTTTTGAGTATCTCTAAAAATAAAAAAATTTAAAATTTAAAATATATTTTTATATCTATAAAATTGATAAATTTATTAAAAATTTTATATATATTATACGTAGACACTTAAATATTAATTTCTGATCCGCTATTGATCTCAGTCTTTGTAATTAGTTGTAAAAATGATTTATATATAGCACTGTTAATTTTATATTCAAGTTACTATTTTCTTTTTATTATGTTTTAGACAGCAGCAATATCTATTTTGAACAGGAAAAAATATAAAATTATTTATTTATTAATAGTTTTTGGTAAGAAGAGAGCAATATTTTTTTTACAAAAATATCATAAAAATAAAAAATATAACTATTAAATTTAAAATTTAATATATTAAATATTATTTTTTAAAAATAATTAGATGAACTAGCAAATTAAATATGAATCCCATATAAAAATAAGAAAAGCCAGGCTAGCAACGTCATGGAAAGAAAGAGAAGCACATTGTCGAAGAAAAAGGGCGAGAGAGAAAATCCCTTGAAAAAGCTACAACAATAGCCTTTGCCTTTCGTTTTGGTTGAAATCGTGAAAGATAACAGCAACAGGACTCAGGTTTTTCAACCCAAGTAATTTTTTCTTCCAGCTAATCAGAAAGGCTTTGAATGGTCTTTCGGCATAATTGGAAAGATGCAGTGGTTCTTCTCTATAACCCACTGCCCTGATTCCGATGAGAGAGTGAAAGAATGGAAAAGAGTTTGTTTGTGTCTGCGTGTTTGGATTGGAGACGTTGAGAGCGACGAGTGAGTCTGTCAGTAACCATTACAACTGCGGCACTGAAAAACATGATGTTTTTGCATTAACATTTATTTGAGAAGACTAGGGCAGGGAAGCAGTTTGAAAACGACCATCAGATTCCTCTTTCCCTCTCTCTCTCTCTCTCTCTCTCTCTCTGTGATGCTTTCTTTTGTATTGATATTTAAGAAAGTTTTTATGTTATAAATTACACATTGATCAGTACTATTCTTTATTGCGGAACCGGAAGGCCACTGCCCTTTTCTGACTTCCTCAGGCTACAAAGATCTCCAGATAGTCCAAGGAGAAAATCCAACGTAACCAAAAGCCGAGGCAAGGGATAATTCATTTTCAACCCTGTCTCTGGCCTTATTCAATGTAATAGTTGAGAGGAAAACTTAATGGGGAACAGTTATTCTTATAAATTAAATGATAAAGAATTCAGAAAAACGTACGATCATTAATATTAATTGATCAAATTATTACCCTGGAATACTTCACCAACAAAACCCATCACTATAGCTTCATTTAACCAAATTAATGAACAAATTACACCAAACAAATTGCAGGATACAACACTCCATTAATCAACTTGAGATTATCAAAGCAACCATTTATAGTATATCCGTAGATATAAGAAGGAAAGATGTGGATTAATATGAAAGAAAAAGAAGATGATTTACGGATGATATAGAGGGATTGATTTATGTGTTAGTAGCCTTTGTAAGATTTGTTCGAATATCGTTTTGGACTTCACCTTCTGTTATAGCTGATGAAATGTAACTCGCAACTAGGGAGTTCTCTTCGGGAGGTGTTCTAGCTTGAAATTGCTGCTTGCAATCATGGCAAGTAATATGAAGAATGGTGGAGTTGCTTTGCTTTATTGCATGATCCTTTAAAGCTTGAGCCTTTTCTAATTCTGCTTGTGCTTGTTGCCTGATTCTCTTTGCCTTGGTAAACTCCTGCTCAGCTAATTCAATCTGCCTTTTTGCTTGCTGTCTTGCCTCTTCAGCATAAGCTTTCTCCGCCATAGCCAACCATAACTGCTTTCGAGCTTCTTCTTTTAACCTCGATGTAACAAAGACAGGTTTCTCATGAATCTCCTGATGAGTTGATTTCTTGCTTTTGTCCTTTTCTGTACAAGTAACAGTTGATTCAATTTTCTCAACAGTATCAGATGAGACGGTTGAGAGCTGTAACTGGGTTGACTGATTATCATGCTTTTTAGGGAAAACTGAGACCTCAGGGGGATTTGATGTGGTTAAGAGTTGAAGCTCCAAATTGTGGTAGTGCGCATTTTTAGGGGAATTATCTTTTGTAGGACTCAAGAACACGGTATCTTTTGTCCTTGCCAACACCAAACTAGGCCAAGTAGCTGTATTGAAATTGGTATCACTGGAGGGACTGGGGCGTGAAGCTGTTCGCGACAAGCATGCCGGCTGCAGTGTTTGTGCTTCTGGCCGGACACGCACCATTTGGCAAGCATCTTGATGTTCAATGAAACTCTCGACTCTACAGAGATAAGGGGAAAATAAATAATAAATCAGTGAGATATATTTTAGTATATAAAGTATAGAAGTATTAGATTTTAGTAATTTAAAATAAATTAGACAGTTGTTATCAATCTACGTAGCTCAAAACAGGCACAAGATATTCAAAAGGCTTGATCTGGTAGGTGCATTTATTTACTAAGATGGATAGTATTGAAACAAGAACAAAGAGAAAAAAAGAAAAAAGAGAAGAGGAGATCAGCCCATCAGAGTATTTAATAATATAGTATATAGTAAGAAAAGAACACTCAAATCTATAAATTAATGGTTACTGAAATAGGATTCATTGCGAAGAGAATTTCTCGATTAAAAGAAGGGGAACAATTACAATACCATGTTAAGCTAAACTGAAAGCTAATCATTCAAGATAGTCACATGAAAAAAAAAAGGTTGTCACAAATGACCGGAAGTGTTTTGGGTTTGAGCTGCGGCCGATAGGATTTGAAACGAACAGTAGCACGACCAACCAAACTGATCTTTGGGAAATGTGTTAACGGCCAATAAACAGCTGTTAAATACTGGATTAAGATTCCATCAGTCAAAAACAAAGTCATATTTTTTCTTTCCTTTCCTTATGTTTTTCTTTTTCCTTTTCAAGTCAAAACGCTAGTCATCAGGAAAAAGGGGAGAGGGGGAGGCTTGAGAGAGAATTCAATATGTAATCATGGTTTAGGACTGGTAAATCTTTTTCCTCCAAAATAATATCAAATGATGGAAAAACAAAGAAAGCTTGAAATCCAGTAGCAACGCCCCAGAAATATAGATCTAAAGCACAGTTGATTGCTTTTTGGGGGTAAAAATGAAAAGGAAGAGGTGGACAGGAATTGAGATATTTATGGTCTATGTCGGAAAGAAAATAACAAATGAATTAACCTTGAAAAAACTCTGCCGCAGTCACAAGAATGGCCTCTGGTGCCACAGGTTTTAAGATGGGCCTTATAATCAGATTGAACAGCATAGCCCTTCGAACATTTTTCGCAGACCCATTGCTTGTGGTGGCTGTGTTTCCTCCTGAAGTGTTTCTTGATCCCAACCAAATCGCCTAAAGCATGGCAGGGGTCATGGTGCAAGCAACTAGGCTCCGGGCAAACAAACACCCGCTTTCTCACCACTGGAGTTTCTCTCTTTAGTAGCTTCCATGGAACGTTGTGTCGCCGCCTGTGCATCTGTAGGTTTTGGTCTCTCTGGAATCCTATGTTGCAGATCTCACAAACGTAACGATCCGATTCTAGTAGTGTTTTAGGCGAGAGAGAAACCACTTCAGCATCTGGATCTACATCATCCAAGTATATATTCCAATTAGAACGGAAAACCAATCATGAAAAAAATTATCCAATTTTCTTTTATATAATTGGTAGAAACCGTAATGAATATTATTGCTGCATATGTTAAGTACCTGGCGTTCCTGCCGGTCTTCTTTTCTTCTTATTGTTATTGTTACCATTCTCTATGCAGGAAAATGGCTCCGAAGAACAAGAGTTATTGGCCAACATGCGTAATTATTCCAGCAAAACCTCTCCTTGGGGCGATTAACTTGTTTAATATAATTAAAGCCAAAGAGGCAAAGCAAAGCAATATATTTTCCTTTGCCAACTACAGCTGATGTTGGCTTTTTCTTCTCACTCTGTAAAGTTGAGGAGTCTATATTTAAAAAGAAAATGAAAAGGGGGAAAGGAAAAGCTAATAGAGGATGGAGATTAGGGGGAGGGGGAGAAAGATAGTGGTAGAGAGGTAGAAAGAGTAGTAGATCATGAGATGGGAGGAAGGAAAAAAGCCCTTTTTCTTTCTTTCCTTTGGGTCCGATGATCAGCTCTCTTTTTTAGGCTTTAAACATTCAGTTTTTCTCTCTTTCTCTCTTCAATTCCAACCTCATCTTCTTCCTCAGGTATTGTGTAGCGAAGTGTAAATTGTCCTCAATAAAAACCTGTTCAAAAGGAAGTAAAGACTAAAGAGATACAGCCAATCAAAATGCATGAAACTTGATCCCCACAAGCAAAGAGAGATGGGCCAAAATTGAGAAACATCCCCGCAAAGAAACAAACCTCTCATAATTCATCTTAGACAGTAAAATTTTCGCTTTGCATTGCATGCATAGCATTATGAGTTTATTTGTCAACATATAAATTTTATATTTGATCGGTGAATCTAATAATATCATTTATTAATGAACAAATATTAATTTTTAAAATAAATAAACAAAAATTTATTATTAATGAAGTAAGATAATTTAATTAATAAAATAATATCATATGATAATGTCATTTATTAATGAACAAATATTAATTTTTAAAATAAATAAACAAAAATTTATTATTAATGAAGTAACATAATTTAATTAATTTTATTAATAAAATGATATCATATGGTTTAATAATAATATATCAAACTTATCACTAATAATATATCAAATATAAAACACATTTTATATATATAATATTAAAATACAAGCACCCTCTCTCCAAATATAAGCAGCTCAGCTCCCTATTTTTCTAACACTCTTTTGATCTAGCTTTTACTGTGTGAGATTTATATTTGATATATTACGTCAAATATAAACTCGCATTGTTCGAGTTTTTATTGCGATAATTAAAATTGAAAACATTGACTCAATCTGTATATTATTTCTGGAATGAAGGGAAAATATAACAGTTAGATTTTAGTCTGAATTAACGAAATTTTCACTTTCTTTGGCTTTAGATATATGTTAGAAAATATAAAATATATCCAGCTCAAATTTATTACGTAAATCATGCATATTCCTTATTCTCTATACAAAACTTTTATTAATGTGCATTATTGAGATTTTTTTTTCTCACCTTACATATAATTGTTATTAAAATTCATAAAAATATAAAAGGAAATGGTTGAGTAAAATTATTAATTTACATTCATAGAAAATTACTTCTACAAAATGCATATATATATATATATTTATATTTATATCACAATAATGGATTAAAATTACTATCAGTAAAAGTAAGATATATGTTTATACACAAAATATATTTATTTTCACAACTTTTAAGAGTTTAATTTACTTTTATATACGGTAATTAAGAATACGGTAAGATTTATAAATATATCCATTGAATTGACCAAACTACCCCTCATTTGTGATTAATTAAATCTGAATAAACTTTTATAAAGTTGATAATTGACATTGAAGATGTTAAGTCGGACTCGAGTGAATGGAGTGTTGTGCTTGCTTTTGGTTAATTGATGAGTGTACAGATTACGAGTGAGTTTAAATTGGCAATGATTGTCTTTTTACTAGGTCAAGCTGGCAATGCACTGGGCCCGAAGATTTTTTACTTGGACCTCAATCAGCTCTCCCATTCCTAGAAATATATCAAGAAAATATTAAACCGAATGATTGGGTTGGTGGCGTTACAGGGTATTTATATGCATTATTATCATTCTTACCAAGCGAATAGAAATTAACCGATTAAAATGCGTCACTACCCCTCGCTTTTGAGAGAAAGGCATAAGTAAGATTCTTTAAGTTAAATTTTGGAGATTTTTTTTATAATTAAAAATAAAAAATTTTAACTTAATACACTGAAAAATATTTTGTTACACATGTAAAATATACAAAATTTTTAAATAAATTGAGTATGTTTTGTTATTTTTTTAATACACATTAATTTTTACTGAAATTATATTAACAAAATTTTCATTGTTAAATAAATATGGTGTAAAATTTTCTCTTAAGTGCTATTTTAAACATTTTTTATATAAATTATTAATTTTCTCATTAAATTTTCTAAATTTATTGATTTTAAATTTTAAATTTGGTTTTTATTTAATTGACTATAGCAAAGAATCTTAAATACTTGATTTAAGAAACCTCAAATAAGTTGGCTCAAGTTAAAAGATGCTCGTGATTAATGGATAAACTTGGTTTCTTTTTCGTAAAGAGTTTTAATTAATGTATTTAATACTGGTCGATTATTCTGTGTGTGTATTTGGTTATTTAATTATGTTTTATTTTATTAATTGATTATTCAATAATTTTTATTTTATTATAAAGCAATATTGAATTATTTAGTTAATTATATGTATGTAATATTTTATTATGATTCTAATTTCAAAAAAAAAAAAAATTGGTTGTCCAATTTTCCCTACTAGGAATTTCTTAATTTTACGTGTAAGTGAACGCTTTTAATGTGAGGACTGAGGTAAGGAGGCGTTATTGATTAATTGTTAATCTTCCATGCTATGAATTTTATTTATTTTTATAGTTGAAGGCAAAGGAATTAATTAAATCTTAGATTTAAACCCATTTAAATAGAAATAATAATCATTAAGCAAAATCTAGCTAATTACTTAATTATTTCTTGTTACTAATAATGATTGTTCAAAATGAATCCTTTAATGATAGCTATCCTAATTTGATAGCAAAATATAACCATTATAAAATGATTAATATAATTGATATTAAACAACAAGTAACTACGAAGATATAAAGCAACTTTTAATTTTTTTTTTCTTTTTCTCTTTTAGTATATATAAATATTAAAGAGGTATTAAAAGATTGCACGTAAATCTTGTCTATGCTCTGAAACTTTCACTCTTTTTTTCTTTTTAAATTAGGGAATGGGGTGCTGAGGGAAGCAATGATAGTGTTACATATTTTAAGTTAGGAAAATACTAATTAAGTTTCCAATACTCTCTTCGTCCCACAATTAATATTTGTGATATATTAACTTTTACGAAATTTAAGAAAAAATTGATTTTAATATATTTAATATTAAATTAAAATTTTTTTTATAAAATTAAAGTTTTATCATTTTTAATGTAAAAAGATTAAAAAATTTTAAAATATAATTTTAAAAATAAAAAAGTATAAATTTTAGATATTTAAAAAAAAGAAATAGGACATAATTTTAAAACATCCTAAAATAAAAAGACGGATAAAAAAATGATTAGAGGGAGTAGTATTATTATGCTAATTAAGCTTCTAATAGTATTATTATCTATTCCATTACTCAATGAAAATAAATATCGATTCATTGTAAGTAGTTTCTTAATTAAAAAAATGCTTTTGAGATATAGGAATTGATGTTTAAAGTTAATATTAGCCTAATTGAATGAATTATGTGAACTTTTAGGATGTCTATTTGGCATGGTTGGAGCTTTCATACAAATGCTGATAAAGTAAATAGACCTGTTTATAAGTTGGGCCAGGTAGGATTCAGCCCGGTTGAGTTGGGTTTAGGCTGGGTCTAACATGATATTTTAATATTTTAAGTAAGTCTAGGGCTAATCATTTTTTGTTCAAACTCGTTTTTATATGTAATAATAAAGTCCAAATTCACTTAAAGAACTAGTATTTGAAACTGGGGAAAATATTTTTAATAAATTATTAATTTAGTTAATTTAATTAATTTTAATTAAAATTATGAGTCATTTGGGCTTGGGTTCAATTTAATTTTGTTAAATACAATTTAAAATTAGTTCATTATTTTGTATAAAAAAAATGGACTTTATCATATTATAAGTAATAAAGCAAATATGCCTTATCTATTATAAAAATAAAGTAAATGGGCTTTATTCCATTATGCTAAAAAAATATTTTTAAGTTTTCGAGCCAAGCTCAGGTCTTAAATAGTGAAACCCATGCCCGACCTTATTTTTTGATTGGGTCTTATTTGTTTGTTCAGATTCATTTAATGGGCTTAATACTCATTTTCAAACTTTTCAAAATTTTGAACAAGCTTTCAGGTTTGGACAGGTCGTCCGACCCATGAGTAGGTCTAAACGTAAAGCTATTTTAAAAGTTCTATACGAAAAAAAATTAAAATAACATTTGGTAAATTTAATATAAAAATATTGTAGAATATTGAAAAAAATTATTTGATAGTATTTTTGTATATTTTTAATGAATAAAATAATCAATTTTAATAAATTAAATCACAAATTTTTAAGTAAAAAATAAATAAAATAAATAAAATATTTTATTAATTATAATAAAAAATGAATTCAATAGAGAAATGGATGAAGGAAAAAAAATAATGTAAAATAATCCTCCTTATAATTTTTTGAACTATTGAAGAGAGAAATGAACTGTAAAAAATTTTCATTAAAAATTTGTTAGTAAAACTAACATTTCTTGACAAAATTTTGATTTGTAGCTTCATTTAAAAATTCAAATATGCTTCCTACATAAGCTAAAAAAATTTAAAATTTAGAGAGTCAAACACCAGAATTTTGCTTTTATAGTAAATAAACTCTTCCATAAGCTTGACAAAAATGAGTTATTTAAGAGTTTTGGTCTCATGGAATAAGTTGCATAAAAATTTTCATGAAACTTTAATGTAGTATAATCGCGATTACAAAATTATAACCCATTCTAAATAGATAATTTTTTTTTAAAAATTATATTTTAAATATAAATTTAAATTTTATAAATAAATCAAATTTTAATTAGAATTTTATAATTATAATTAAACCACATCTAAAACTCTTTAATAAATCTTATAAAATCAAATCTATAAAATTCAAAACTCAATTATAAATATATATATATATATTTATACTAGAATTTTGACCTCACTTTACTTCGGCACATTAAAAGTTTGATAATGTTAAACCATTAACAAAATAACACTACGATGAAATAAGAAGAATGGAATAAATAATCATAACAAAGGAAAAATAATAAAAATAATGCTATGGGAATAATGTTTAATAAAAGCAAATCCAACATATAAATTTTGTATATGTACTTTTCTTTTTTAACTTTTTTTAAAATTTTTTATATTTAAAATTTTTTGTTTTTTGCTTTTTTACTTTTTCTAATTTTACTTTTTATTCTTAATAAAGATTTTTTAAATTTTTATGAGACTCATTTGATACCAAAAATATGTCACATGTCAAGACATTTGCTTTTTTTTTTTTTTATTTAGTTTTTCCTTTTTTATATTTAATAATTTTTTATATTAATTTTTTTGTAGGGCTTATTTGATATTATTGATTTTTTTTAGGTTTTTTAATTTTATAATTTTTTGTAA